AATTTTTAATAGTCATTTTAAATGGAACATCATTTCAGAATAGTATGAAATTACATTGTGAAATCAGGACAGTCGATGAACATTACGTGCCTATTACATCCCAAGCATTATGTATGTCTTTACACTTAAGGAATGGATAGTAAACAATCTTGGAGTAAAATATGGGGCAGAACCTGCTTTAAGTTGTACCAAGTCAATCAAATAGAAATTTGAAGAACCTTGTATTAAGATGAGAGGCTTTTATACTCGGCATTTTCTTCCAATGAAAAAATAAATCCCGTGTGCCACCATCTTGACAACTCTTTAAATATATAAAGAATATAGTTCTTATATAACTTAACACAAAGTAAACAATATAGCAATTATCTCTTCCAAAGGTCAGTCAAATGCAGGGTTTTTTCTCTCTGACCCTAAAAGAACATATCAATCTTCTACCTCATAGAAGTTCTAAATTGTAATTTTGTTCTTAAGTATTTCAATTTTTTTTTTTTACTTTCTGCTTGTTTCTACATTAAGATTAACTTTTGTCATCCAGTGATGATGACTTCAAGCTGATCAAATAAGGATGTTTTCCGTTTTTTTGCCATTAACATCCTAAATTATCTTTTATTCTTCTGTAATCTAGGTAGACAGTTAATTCCTCGACCCTCTTAAACTGTGTCCCTAAATGGTAGGTAGACCAAGATTGCTAATACCCTTGATTTTTAAATGGCAAATATATATTTACACAGATGCATGTAAAAAATGCTCTGACAGTAACTAGAAAATAGATATTTTTAAGATATTGCTTATGTTATAGGACAAGTAATTACTATAAAACTTGCAATAATAACTTCTTGTCCTATAATCTCCAAAAAATATAATATATGTCAAAGTACAGGAAAGACTCTTCTGAAAAGCAAGAAGAATAGGGGGTCCTTGGTTTACATTTATCAATCTACATAATCTAAAAATAATTTATCCATAATCTTGAGCTATTAAGTGGACAGTTACTATAGAAACATTTTTCAAGATTTAAAAAATAAGAGTATCACTCCTTGGTATGGGACCTGTATACCTATCAAAGAGACCCCTATATATAAGGAAAAAGATACCCTTAACAAAGTTCACAATGCCATCACAGCCACCTAATTAAATATCTTAACTGCAGAATTAGTGTAATTTTTCCAAATACATTTTTATAAAACCCAAATAGCCATGAACCCAATGGCATGCCACTTTAGAGAACTTAGAAATTTGGGAAGTAGCTTTAATTATGTATTCCAATAAAAAGGCAAAAGTTGGTTGAATTATTTAAGTCCAGTTTATCTATTTGACATCACTGGCAAAATCCTTCCTAAAGGAGTTTGCTTTGTAAGCATTGTATTAAAGAATTCCATGTTTTCTGGAATGCCAGAGTAGCTTACAAATCAGAACAGAGATCCCATCAGCTCCTTGCAGCACATTCTGTGACTGCCCCAGTCAGGGCTGTCCATGACTGTCCTCTCTGACCACTCCTTGTAGATTTATTCCTTTAGAGAAAGTCACTGAAAATCTGAGACTCATCATAAACATCTTCAGTGCCCTGTGGGAGCCTTCCAGTCCAATAGGTTGTGATCTTCAATCATGTGTCCTTGAGAGAGATAGAAACAAATACTTATATAACATATTACATCTTCTATCTTTAGGAAATTCCACCCAGTGGAATGGTTATCAAAAAAAAAAAAAAAAGTTTTTGAGATTGCCAACTATTTAAATTATGCCTCAGACTACCCAAACTGGCAAATAACTGGTAGCTAAACAAAAACTAATCAAAGCCACATCAACAGGGTCAGCACATTGCTTCCAAGTTCACATAAAGTCTAGAGAGAAATGGTGAAGAGCACAGGCTTGGGGGTGATGGGACTGTGTTTGAATCCTCTATGGACACTGACCTGCCAGCTATATTATTTTCCTATTGCTGCTGTAACAAATTGCCACAAATTCAGTGGCTTAAAACAACATAAATTTATTATCCTACAATTCTGGAACTCAGCTGTCCTAAAAATCAAGGTGTCAGGAGGGCTGCATTCCTTCTGGAGGCTCTAAAGGAGAATTCATTTCCTTGCCTTTTCCATGGTACCTAGAATTCCTTGGTTTGTGGCCCCATATTCTCTCTCCAAAGCCAACAGCATAGCATCTTCAAGTCACTCTCTTTCCTTATCTCCTCTCTCTCTCTCACTCTCTCTCTCTGTCTCTCTCACACAAGTGTACACACACAATTTCACTTCCACTATAACAGATGATGATTTTAATTTAAACACAAATTCTGGGACACAAACCTTCATGTGCCTAAGAGAATCTTTAAAATCAGATTAAGAAAATCAGTAGAGCAGACACCCCCTTCCGTGCTAAGCTATGCTATCTTCGAACCCCATATGAAACAGTGAGACCCTTTATTTTTATCTTAACTAAAGTGCACACCACATGCACGCACACACACGCACACTCACACACTAAAATGAGATTTGTCTTCCTTCACAAAGTGAAAGGCTGAACACATCCTTCTATGCTTTTGAAATTGTGTTTCCCAGGGACTCTCTCAGCTTCGAGCTTGCCATTCAACCTCCAAGGCACCCCCTTCATCAACTATAACAAATAGGGCCTTTTGTCTGTGCCCAGCAGTTGTTTCACATTTGCTGGGAAAAGAACAAAGGAACGGAGGCTCAGAACAAACTCAGGAAGTGCTGAGGACAGTTTGGAGCGGAAAAAAACGTTACTGAGCCAAGTTTGAATTCGCAATTCAGTCTTTGAGCAATTCATTTATTCTGAACGGTAAGAAAGATATAGAATTAAATTAATACTCATCAGTTATTATTCTGTAACAAATGTACTTCCTATATGCAAGCAGACGAGTCCTATGGAATTTGTTTCTAAAAGAAGTGTAGGAGCAAGTGACTAATTCTTAATTGTTTGCGCAATTAGTAAAAAGACATATATGGCATTCCAGAGACTGTTATCCACTTCCTTCCTTCTGTTATAAGGAAATCACGGTGGGCCTATAGAACCCCTGCCAACACAACCGTGGCCTGGAAATTTCCATTTAAACATTCAAAGGATATGAAATGTGTGGCATCCTAGCCTACCTTGGCTGCTTGCTGCGCTTACATTTTAGACATCAAGCCAGGCAGCTGAGCTCTGAAAGCTACTCTTCTCCCCCCCACATTCAAGTACTTGCCGGCCACAAAATACTCCTCGTAGCTCAGAGCATCTTGCATTGGAAAGTGGTTCCTGTCTCCTCAGGAAGACTGGGACAAGATAAGCTCAGATGAGATGACACTTTCAGGCCTTTTTATGAAAAATTTACTTCATAGCATATTCTGTAGAACCAATATCTTGTCTCATCCTCCATTTTATTCCCGGTGGTGTTTCCTCTTTCTGTCGGTGTATGGATCTGATTCTTGCCTGAAACAGAGAGGAGTGGGGAAAATAGGAGAGCAAGAAAAAGGAAATGGAAAGAAAAGCATCACAAATTGGCCACCAAAGAATGGAAATAACATTTACTGAATACCTACAGTATGCCTGGCACTTTACACATTTGACTTACAGATTAGATAATTTAATCTTCATGTCATACCTAAAGCACAGACTTAATTCTGCGTTTTTCAGATGAGGACACTGAAACTCAGAGAGGTCAAGAAGCTTACTCCAAGTCACACAGCTAAGCGGTGGTAGAGCCAGGTCTTTCCACTTCACCATTATATCATCCAACTGTTGTAATTTGTAACTGAAATCAGAAAGCAAGATTACTGAGAGTAAAGATTCTATCCTAAGAATCCCGTAGGATGGTTAGCTCATGAGGAGCTCAACGATCAGTACTAAAGAAATCCTGGTTGTGAAATTAATTAAGCCCTGGCCCTGCCTTGAATGCAAGTGGGAAATAGATGGAAGAGTGTTGAGATGTCAACAAAAATCCATTTCCTACCAAGAGACAAGCCGGGAGATCAAAGAGGAGAAGGAGAGGTGCGAAGGTTGTAGACGGTGCTGGGAAGGGTTTGCACAAGGAGTGTGCCTGTCACTTGAGTGGCTTTCCTAAGCTAGCCGGGTGAAGAGACCCTAGGTCAGGAAGCCATCAGGCCAGTTCAGAAGCCAGCCCCCCAGGTGCCAGGGCTGAAAGAGGGGTAGGGCTGGAGGGACTTTTTCTAATAGGAATTTTCCATTTCTCACAATGAGCTAGTCAAACACTTGCACTTACGAGAAAGAAGAATGAAGGGTTACAGAGCTTGCCTTTTTAATTCTCATTTGCCTAGTTTGCATTTGAACAAATTATTATTTCTGCCTTCATTAGAGTATTTAACACAGTGTAATCAACCTGCTGGGAAGTAAAAGTGTAACCATTTTATGGTTTGTTACACTGAAATTTAAATTTGCATATTAAGCACCAAAGGCATTAACATGTGTACCCTATTCATTAACTATGGATTATAAAATACCTCTCTAGTGTGAGCCCAAACAGCAAGCCGTTTTCTGATTGAACTGCTTAATTAAATAAAAGATTATTAACAGCATTCCTTTATACCCTGGATACTTTAGTAGTTTGAAATTAAAGCACAGAGACATTCAGAAACTACCAAATCTTCCTCATCACTGTTTTGCAAGCATCTCTCTGAATATGATAGATTGACTCTGCTCTGGAAAAACTGCACTCTGAAATAAGCCTCTTTATAAAGCAAAGCCATAAAGTAAATAGTACCTGAACTCAGATTCAATTTTATCATTTTAATTCCGTTCAAACCTTCGTCACTGGTGAGGCTGGTCTAAGTCCTGCAGATTTCTACCGTGACAAATAAAGGAGGACATGCAGCAAGCTTCCCAGTCTAAATACAAACTATTTTTATAAATCAGTGGTGAGCTAATTTAATTTGGTTCTTCTAGCCTACACTACAAACACAAAATCCTTCTGCACCCAACTGAAACCTATTTTTAAAAAATAATTTCAGAGCAGTGAGTGAGCTTCTCTTAACCTCTTCCATCTTTGATAGTATTGACCACAGGTTTAGATCTCCTTGACCTGAGTGAACCCGTCTCTCAAACCCAAACCAAAGCCAAGAAGTTGGAGGCCTCATCAAAAACCTCATCCCTCAAGAAAAAGGCTGATGGGCCTGACCTCATCAGTGCGGATGCTGAGCAGAGAGGCCAGGCTCTCCGAAACCCAGAGACGGCATCCCTAGACTTAGGTAAGGCAATAGCTCGTGTCTGCTGCTGTTCACTTGTGCTTAATACAACAAGGAAGTTCTACAAATGACATTAAAACCATGGACAAAGCAGTAGAAAAGATTAATTCTATGTAGGAAACTGGACAGGACACACTTCTTTGTGCTTAGATTAAATAGCAGTTGGGGAGCTCAACTTTGCAGAACTGGTGTGGATTTATACATTTATTTGTACAACCCATGTGTATTGAGTTTCTGATAGATGACAGGTACCACACTAGGCACTGGAGTTACAGTAAAAATAAGACACGAATCTTGCTCTCTAGGAGAATTCAGTCTAGAGGGGAAGAGAGTCTAGAAAGAGAAAACTCTAACCCAAGGTCCGGGAACAGCCAGAAGGAACAGTAACATGTAACATGTGTGGGGATACGTCCAATACAATAATAACAGCGGCCATTCACTGATGACTTACAATGTCCAGAACTGTGCTATGTGATTTACATATATTAGCCTGTTAATTCATCACAGCTCTTTGAAATGAATGAGGAACCAAATTTTCAAATTTAAATAACTTGCCCAAGATCCCAGTTAGTATGAGGAAGAGCTGGAATTTGAGCCAAGCTCTAATTAACTTCAAAGCCTGTACTTCTCTCCACTGTACATCTTCCCCGAGAAAGGAGACCTTAACCTCAGATCATGGAACCAGTCAATTAAGCTCCCCTTTCTTAAGAGAAAGAAAGGTAACAGTTATTTCAGAAAGCCAAGGGAAACATGGATGGGTAAGTATCCACAAAATGAGCATATTAGTAACTTATCCATAAAGTTACAAAGGTTAAAGGGGATATACATATATGTAAAATCGCTTAGCACTGTGATATATATACATGTTAGATGGCCATGAATTAATTTATTCAGTTGTTCAGTAAACATTTCTCTAAATATCTGTTGTGTTCCGTACTATGTGCTGGAAATACAAAGATAAATAATATAAGCTTTCTGCCCCTTAGTAAGTTTACAGTCTAGTGGAGAGATAGAAAAATGATTAAAATAATTATAATAAAATATGTACTATGTGCTGCAATAAAGAAAAGCCCAGGTTAAGCCCCTCACCCAGCCAGGGGGTTATAGAAGGTGCCTTATAGGAGGTACTATATGAGCAGTCTTGAAGGTTGAGTAAGAATTTGCCAGATGAAAAATATGGGTCAAAGAGAGGCGGGAAGGAAGGGGCAGGGCATTCCTGATGCAGAAGAGAAAGGGAGTCACACACAAGTAGACAAACACAGAAAGATGCCTTTTCAAGCAAATACAAGCACTGCTACAGTATTCAAGAACGGTAGAGTACTGAGAAATAAATCTGAGCGTCACCAGGGGTCAGATAATGGGAGTTCTTGGATGCCAGGTCGTTAAGTTTGTGGGGAGGGCAGGGTTGAAGGGTTTTTACTCAGAGGAGTGACATCAACAGATTCTATTTTAGAAAAATTTTTCTCTTTTGGATGTGTGAAGAAAGGAATGGAGGCAGGGAGACAATACATAAGGGAGTGACAGAGGGGATAGTGAGAGGCAGACGGGTTCAAAAATAAATAAATAAAAACAAGACTTGTGGACTGGGTAGATATATGCATGCCAGCAAGGAAGAGATATAGAATGTGCCAAACTCTGTGATGAGGGTACAAGAGGAGAAGGCGGGGGGGGGGGGGGGCGGGGGATGTCAAGGTGGAAATTGTCAAGTTCAGTTTTGAACCTATTATATATGAGGAAACTGTGGAGCTTCTCTGTAGAGATGTCCAATGGACTGTTAAATGTGTAAATCTAGAACTCAGGAAAGAGAACCAAGCAGGAAATAGAGATTTGAAAGTCAGAAGCCTATGAATAGCCATCACAGTCACGGGTGTAGATGAGCTCACCAAGGATAGATCATAGAGAAAGAGAAGAGAACCAGCACGCTGCTCAAACTGGTTGCACACACAGGATCTGCGCTCCTCTGCCACGTCACTTTTTGAGGCCTGTCTCTCTGGAGGAAAATTTTATAATTATTTCCTCATCATCCGTGTGCTCTAGGTTTATTCCACTTCAATAAGTGAAATTTATACATATGCATAAGGGTATATTGTTAAATACATTACAATATAATATAATAAACACATAAATGATACTTTCATTTCTCTGCTTTTGAGAAAATGCCTTGTGAAGAAGTCATAAAAATTCTTAGTTTAGGGGGCTTCCCTGGTGGCGCAGTGGTTGAGAGTCTGCCTGCCGAGGCAGGGGACACGGGTTCGTGCCCCGGTCCAGGAGGATCCCACATGCCGCAGAGCGGCTGGGCCCGTGAGCCATGGCCGCTGAGCCTGTGCATCCGGAGCCTGTGCTCCGCGATGGGAGAGGCCACAACAGTGAGAGGCCCGCGTACCGCAAAAAAAAAAAAAAAAAAAATTCTTAGTTTAAACGACTTTAGAGGACACTGACTGCAAACCTACCTTTTTATAAATGAAAAAACTGGCCTCTAAGGTTGTCTAAGTGGATTGTTCACAGTCACACACCTGTTCATGAGAGGGAACCAGCCAGGTTCTTTGTAAGAATTCAGCCACAGGGAGACAATGGTCCTAGCATACACTAACTTTCTCCATTGCCTCCTTCCTCTCTATCCCCATTATAATTTCCCTTCTTTGGTGAAAAATTAGGTAGTCTATGACAAAACCTGTAAAAAGTGTCCCAGTTTCTTCCCACCTCCTTTTAATAACAAGGCTCATCTCTTTAAACAGAATTTCTTTCCAGAAATGTGCCAGAAATGCCTCAAAGCCACCTCTTAGCTGGAGGCCCATAGGATAGTACTGCATATGCTCATTCTTTACCAGATCCCGTGGGCTCATACACAAAATTCAGAATGCACACAGCTCTTGAAATAAATTCAGGTAAAAAAATATACTTGATTGTTTAACTGTAAAAGCAATCCCATTTCTCTTAATAGGTCTCATATTTATTTAGCTATACATGTTTTAATTAATTTTCTTGCAGCCTTTGGTCTTGGGGTGGAAGAACATCAGTTAATTAAAGTTCACTTGTATAAGACTTCTCAGTCTTAATCTCTCTTCTTCTCTCTGCACCTCGTATTCTCCCCCGTCCCCCTCACCCCCTTCTTGTCTCCTTAGTAGACATTCAAACACAACTGGAAAAATGGGATGATGTTAAGTTTCATGGAGATCGAAATAGCAAGGGACATCCCATGGCAGAGAGAAAATCAAGCTCATCTAGAACTGGATCAAAAGAACTTTTATGGTAAGATATTTTAATATCAGAAAATAGCCATAAAAAAATGAAACTTTGCCATTTGCAGCAACATGGGTGGACTTGGAGGGCATTCTGCTAAGTAAGATAAATTAGACAGAGAAAGACAAATACTGTATGATATCACATGTGTGGAATCTAAAAAATATAACAAACTAGTGGATATAACAAAAAAAGAAGCAGACCTGCAGATACAGAGAATAAACTAGTAGTTATCAGTTGAGGGGGCAGTATAGGGATGGGGGAGTGGGAAGTATGAACTATTGGGTGTAAGATAGGCTACAAGGATGTTTTGTACTACACGGGGAATAGCCAGTATTTTGTAATAACTGTAAATGGAGTGTAACCTTTAAAAATTGTATAAAGTTTTTTTTAATTTTAAAAATAAATTAAAATATTTTTTTAAAAAACTGAAAAAAGAAAATAGCCATTTATGTGTCATATACTTGTCTACTGAAATAGCCAAAGAATTAAGTCAATCCAGATACTTGCTGCCATTTATAACCTCCTATTAATGTTAATAATTGTGGCTTCTAAAACTAAATTATTTCATCTTAATTGTCAAAAATTCAGCCAATAAGGATTTTGGTAGATTCATAATTTAATATTCAATATTTGCCTAATATTTGTTGATAATTTTCTGAACATGTAACTGAGCCAATCAAATTACGTGCATGTGTAATTTTACATATGTGTATATTCAATGTACAACATGAATAATAGTTAAATTAAATGTTTTTGGCTACACAGGTAACCTTTCTGACTTTCTTAATCACCACTGTCGGATAATGCACTAATTAAGTATATTCCATGGATGCCCATGAGAAAAACTAGCCACTTGAATTTTACCATGTTTTTTTTTTTGCGGTACGCGGGCCTCGCACTGTTGTGGCCTCTCCCATTGCGGAGCACACGCTCCGGACGCGCAGGCTCAGCGGCCATGGCTCACAGGCCTAGCCGCTCTGCGGCATGAGGGATCTTCCCGGACTGGGGCACGAACCCGTGTCCCCTGCATCGGCAGGCGGACTCTCAACCACTGCGCCACCAGGGAGGCCCTTACCATGTTTTTAAAGCTTCCTAAAGGACGGCATGTTTCAGACTCCGGTCGCCCGTCACACATCTCCATTTATTATGACATTTCAAATTCTATATAAAGATCAAATCTCACTAAGACACTTTGTGAGGAGATCCCCTCCCCACCCAAAAATTACTTTTTTAATGAAGCAGAACTCTGTAACAAAAATGGTTTTGCATTTATTTACTCTTTGCATGTAACTGACCTGAATTCTAAAACAGTCAGAGAGAATAACACCTAACACATTGCAGCCACTTAAATTCCAAACGTGGTCATTATAATGGAAATATATGTTATCTTTTTCATCAGATGTCTGTTGAGAGCTTTGTTACCATGGTTCTCAACGATCCAAATTAACCAGATTTCTTGACTGGGTTTCTAGGTGAATTCGCTTCTCGATTTACATTAACTTCCTCCATGTGTCCCTTGTAGGTCCTCAGAGCACAGATCTCAGCCAGAACTGAGTGGTGGGAAAAGCGCCCTGAACTCTGAGTCGGCTGCGGAGCTGGAATTGGTGCCTCCAACACAGGTAACAAAACCAATTCCTCAGTGCACCTATCTTTACTAATAGATAATTTATGTCATAAATATTTAAAATTTCACCAGAAAAATCTGAAGTATTTTTTCCGTATTTTCTATTTCATATGCTTTCTCACTCAGTATCTATCTCAATGCTTAAAATAACTGATGAAAGATAGATAGATAGATTTGGCTGGAAAATGTGTCAATGAACTCACCATGTACTTAGCACTTTTTCCTTGTTCTACCACTTACTGTTACATTATTTTCCAATACAAAATCTGTTCTACTCCAGTATTAGCACAATTTATGTAACAGGCACAAACAAGAGGAAATTACATCTTGAGCAGTCATTCACAACTTTGCCCTACAGACCAAGATACTCACACATCAGCATCCTGACTGTCACATTAAAATAAATTTGTTGCTAAGGAATAAATAATTATAGTATTAGCAATCATGATAATACTAAGAACTACCATTTGTGAGTACCCTCTAAGTATTAGGGACCTTGTGCTTTTCATATATTATATCTAATACTCAAGTAATCCTGTGAATTTTTATTGGACTCACTTTAAAGGTCTTTGAAGAGTCTTGGTAAAGTCAAAATCCTTTTACAGGGGCACCCAACTAATCACCAGTGGAAGTAGGGCATGTACCAGACCTGTCTGTCTACTACTTGACCCTCGACTTCAGTGTAACTGGTTTGCCTGTGACTAGTGACCTTGGCTGGGCCAAGAAGGGCCATCAGCCTCAGTGTTTTCATTTGCTTAAACACTTTGCAAGGGTACAGCCTTGATCTCTTAAGAAATGTGTCCACGTTCACGCATCTACAATCCAGTTGGAAATAAGTGGGATGAAATGAGCAAGAGAGATTTTCTTGAGTTTACTAGATAAGGTATTGAAACTAAGAGGGAAGATATATTGTCTGAAGTGAGTAAAGGGATAAGTATGATAATAGCAAATATTATTGAGTGCTATGAGAAGGCCTTCTAATACATATTAATTAGCTCACTTGATCCTGACCAATGACTCTATGAGTTAAGTGTATTTTTTAACCCCATTTTATAGAGGGGGAAACTAAGGCACAGTGAGAGTAAGGAAAATTGTCGACGCACTCACAACCAGTAAGCGGCAGAGGGCAGGAGGACACAGCTAGGAAATGGAAGGCATCTGGAAACCTAGGCCATTAACAGCACCTCCATGTGCACCTCACCCTCCACAAGAGAGAGGCGGGCATTACTGCTCCCAGAACTCAGTCGGAAAACAAGTCAGCTAACTTCCAGAACAAATAACCCTGGGAAGCTTAATGAATTGTAAATGTAGCGTGAAAATGTATTTTCTTCATCTTTGTTCATTCTGAATGTATCTTTTTAAAAAGCAAGTTGATAACATTTATTAGAGAAACGTTTCTTGATAAGTGCATTAGAGATTTAGACTCAGCTAAATAATTGGTACTGTTTCATAAACTGGAATCCTTGAAACAATTTTTTTTAATTTGTTTGTTTATTTATTTATTTATTTATGGCTGTGTTGGGTCTTCGTTACTGCACTCAGGCTCTTCTCTAGTTGCGGCAAGAGGGGGCTGCTCTTTGTTGCGGTGCACGGGCTTCTCATTGTGGTGGCTTCTCTTGTTGCGGAGCATAGGCTCTAGGCGCCCGGGCTTCAGTAGTTGTGGTTCGCGGGCTCTAGAGCGCAGGCTCAGTAGTTGTGGCACATGGGCTTAGTTGCTCCGCAGCACGTGGGATCTTCCCGGACCAGGGCTCGAACCCGTGTCCCCTGCATTGGCAGGCGGATTCTTAACCTCTCTGCCGCCAGGGAAGTCGCTGGAACAATTTAATATAGCAGGAGAACACTAGTCTCTGCAGCAGGGTAAGACATGGCACAGGTGGGCTCTTCCACACGGAGGTGGAGGGAAGGAGGATCAGCTGGGGTCCTCGGTTGCCGTGGAGACCCACAATGCATTTATCTTATTATTCCAATGACTGCTACTCTCCCGCTGGTTGTCTGATTTCATCCCACCATATTGTCCTTCCACTTACCCACCGGTGTGCCTTTAAGAAAACACAATGTGCTTTGGAAAATTTGTATGAGATACCCAACATTGTCCTCCAAAATATAATGTAAAATGCCCTGAGATAGTTCTGTCTAGATAAATCATAGTGAATTATTTTAGAAGGTTACCAATTATTTGTAAAGCATTCATCCCTTAAATTGTTTTCTTAAAAAACACTGCATGTTTACTTAACAAGATTTGCCTAAACTAAGGAAATTTGTAATCTCCTAGTTTTAATTCCAGCCTATGGTTAAATAGGAAAATTTCATGAATTTGGGATTTAATCATCTAAAATATTAAGTCACTCAAGTGGAACAGCAAGAGAATAGACTCATCTACTTGTAATAAAAGACAGAAAGGTGTTTTTACTGTTAGAAGCATACTGCCCTTAAATATATGATCTCTTTATATAAATAAGATGATGAAATGGTATAAAAATTCGACTTAAACTGACTTGCAAACTATTCAAGTAAACAATTTCAGCTTACCAAAAGTTGTTATTGCTCCAGTCACTCAGATGGTTCATAGGAAAATCAAGGAAATATCTTCTTCTCCCTCAAGCCAACATAAATTATCTTAGTTCAACAGGTGAGGAGCTATTTACAAGCTTTGCTCAAAAATCATATTTCAGAATCACAAAGAGAATGAAAGCTCTCAATGAGAATTCTCATGTTTGTTCATTTTCAAGATAGGGAAAAAGAAAAACATAGACTAGTCTCTTTCAAATAGTGTTTTGAATATACTAATCAGAGTGGCATGAGATTATAATAAATTATATAATCTCTGTATATTTAAAGAATAAAGTTTCTTGATATTATGCAAACTGTGTTATTTATATTCCCTGGAGTTAATTATTTAAAGAAATCGTGCAATCTGAAAAATTAAAAAATATTTGAAGCATTGAAGAGAAACACAGAAGGTAATGATATAAAATTAGCTTTTCCATAAATGAGATAGTGGTGAGGCAAAAGAAAAGAAACTTCTGCCAGAGACTGATGGTTCACACATTTCTTTTTCAAGTCTGGACCCTGGAAGGAGCGCTCCAACACAGGCTCTTGCCGCCCTAAGCTGGACTTCATGAGAAGGTGGGGCAGCCAGGCTCTCCAAATACTGAGTCACAATCTTGTAACGCTCTGATTTTGCTGATTTGGGCAGAGCAAATGCTTCCTTCCACATTGTCAAAATTCCATCAAGTTGGCAGTATCCCAAACCAGAACAATCTAAACTTTAAAAGTGCAGATATGTTTTCTAAATTTTTAAAGGAATAATGTAAAAGGAAATGCATGTTAATAGAAATGTAAGGTATTTCTAATATATTATTTGAAACGTTTACAATAATCTTGGGAATTCATGTTATCTCCATTTCTCAGACGAGAAATGCATCTTAGAGAACAGAAGTAATTTTCCCAAGGTGACTCAGCTAGAATGGAGAGGACCTAGCATTCAAATCACACCCATCAGCTTCTAAAGACTTTGTTCTTCATCACACATCATCTCCTATCAGCCACATCTAGCTTATCCGCCTAAGAGAACTCACAAGACCATCGATTTCCCTTCTCATTGCAAGCCCTGATTATTACTTAGTTTATAGGGTTAATATGAGCTAAGTGATTTTAAAAAATATCACTTTCCTCCAGAAACTTTGTAAGATGAATTAGGATTGTCACCCGATCTGAGGCCATGCACAATTTCGTGCCTCCCCTCCCAAATTCATTCTCAACCTCTTACTCTTAGAAATGCTAATGGATTCCATTTTGTTCCGTTTCAATTCAACAAATGAGATTGAATGTCTACTATCCGTAAAGCCATAAGTGAGGCAGTGGAAAAGTTAGAAAGATGAGAGAGAATATAAGAAGTATGAAGACCTTTATGTCTAGTAGAAACAATTAGATAGTACACTGTAAATACAGTTTTGCTTTTCGGAGGACAGCACAGGAGCCACATCAATATCCCTTTTCCCCTCCTGGCCACACACAGTGAGCTGCCAATGAGGAAGAAAGCAAGCGAAGATGGAAGAAAGGAACAAAGCAAAGAAGGCAGGAAAACAAGAACAGCAGGAAAGCAAAAAGGACGGAAAGAAATCTGAAGATCATTTTCAGCATAGTAGAAAATCTACACATACTAGGTACTCACCAAATACTTTTTAAAGTGAAAAAATAAGGGATGCTAACAAAAAGGAGAAACAAAATGTTTGTCAAATTACAAAATTCAAAAGTAGAAGCTAATGGTTAAAGGACAGAAAAAAAGGACAAATTTTTATTCTTTTATCATTTTGAGGCTAGTTCCAAAAATAATTTTTAGTTATGTAGTATGCTAATAGACTGTCCATCCCCTTTAAAAATCAGCCCTGACTTGCCTTGGTGTTCCATAACATAGAATTTCATAGTTGGAGGAAGATGGGAACCATGTGCTGCCCACCTTTGCACAAAACTTTGGGAATTTGCTCTTGACACATAAGGTACAGGTTTTTTGTATGCTTTCAATGATAAATGTCTGTTGACTGATTAAGAAAAGATATCCTGACCACCTTAATGAGGCAAATGTTCAGAAGATCTCTTCTAGCATGAGTCCAACTTGTCTGTAAAAACCACTAAACAAGTGTTCTAAACACAGATTTTTTAAATGAATTTCCAAAGTCACACCTGATAAGCGCTAACCAGAAAAATGATAATAACAAAAGCCAATTTTTTTGTTGTTTATTTTTCTTTTTTTGGCCACGTCGCCGACGTGCAGGATCTTAGTTCCCCAACCAGGGATCAAACCCGTGCCCCCTGCATTGGGAGGGTGTAGTCTTAACCACTGGACTCCCAGGGAAGGCCCCAAAGCCAATTTTATTGAGCACTTCCTATGTACTGAGCATTTTGTGTGTATTATTTACATGAATTATTGCACTTGAGTCTTACATGGACTCCATAAGTGAATATACACTTGGCAGATGAGAATACTGAGAATTG